TCTTCCGATTCTGTTTTCTCATCTCACCTCATTCTCTTCTCTTTTTCCAACTCATTTTGAATCTTGTTTTAGGATTGCAAGTTTCCAATTAATATGAAGAACCTGTCAACCGTAAATGGCTTAGTTAACTTCACTGGATGATGACGAGGCTACCCTTCACATTTTAATTCTGAAATTCTTTGAAGTTATTTTATCATGTCATTTTCTTGCCTTTATTGCACACTATTTAAATGAATTTTTACAAAATGATTGACCAGAAAAATAAATATTTCATTGATGGGTGATTTGAGATTTAAGAGGACACTGGAGGTTTTTAATTGTAAAATTCTGAGATATTCTTATTTGTTTTCCAGCAAGAAAGTAGTTTTTTTGATGCACGAGCTTTGTTAAATACTTAGTAGTGCTCTCTTCTGTTTTTCTAATGGACCCCAGACCTTTTTTTATTGAATGGTTTTAATTATGCTAATGTAGTAGAATGCTCTTATGCATCACGGACACTTCATCTATTTTTCTGTTTTCGTGGTGCAGGGTTAATTACTTTCCCTGATCTTATTTTACAGTTTGAAAACACATGCCGAAATGTTTCCGAGTCAATCAGGTGCTTATTTTGCCATATACATTTCATTGATGATGCTGCATAGCTGAAGGACTTGTAGTTTAAGTTTGATATAGCATTACATTCTGACAAACTTTTTTAAACAAATTCCCTAGATTCAGGGGACTTGTTTAGAAATATGTTCACCATCTTGCCATTGTTAATTGTAGTGAATTGTAAATGGTTCAATTTAGCATATATTAAAAATTTTACTTTGTTCACCATATTTTCTTTTAACATTAACACGGTTAAGAAGCCTTGAAAGTCCATGACATTCTTTATTCTTATTTTATGTTCACTCACTAATATAATTACTGAGGCTGAAACTTCTTTTGATTATCATTAGATTGCATCTTCTAACAGTAAAAAAATATCAATTTTTTTAATGAGTTTTAGAGTTTTTTTCTTCTTCAGGCACTATTTTATGGATCAAGGTAGCACTAGTAGTACCAAAAGAATGGCGTTCAGGACTCATAATTTTGTGCTATAATTTTCTAGGTATGATGGAGGTGGGAGGCATCGGGTGGTGGAGGACAAATTGAAGCAGCAGAAAGCGAAATATTTACTTGATGAAGCAGCGTCTTGGTCACTTCTGTGGTATCTTTTTGGGAAAGGAAATCTCTCTTTATCCATATTAATTGGCTTATGTTTATATTTTTGGGAATATCTTTCTTAGGAATAATTGTATGTAGGTCTCGATGTTAATAATGAGGTTCTGGTTAGTAAAGAAAAAGCAAGGCACTCTTTTCCAACCTTTATTTTAGAGTGTGAAAGAGAGAGTGGAAACATTAATGCATGCATGATAAAATGAGGGTTCATTTGGTATGATTCGCCACCCACCTTAAACCATGGGAGTGAGATAGAGATGAAAGAGGGGGAATTACAATTTATCATTAATAAAAAAGCATATAAAGTGAGAAGTTAACTATTGAAACTTGTAGCAAGTTTTTGGTGGACTGAAATCCCAATGGTTGCTCTCTTTTTTGTATTCTCTTTTAGCTTTTTTTGGCATTCCGCTTGTTCTAGTGATATTAAGACTATTGCAAGGGCATTATCACAGATGAATAAATTTGCCTTGATTTCTTTCTTCCAAAACCCCTGGCGTGTTTCCCTTTGATAATATTCATCTATCATCTTCCTCCCCTTTTCACCATATCTATCTTCTTTATTTTTTTCGAACTCTCTTGAAAAATGCAGAAAATTTTGTTTTGTGGTGGTTGCGTGAAGATGGAGGCAATGAGGGCTGCTTGGTATGTGTTTAATTTGTGCAAAAAGATTTTTAATTTTTTTTATATATGTGATGGTTTGATTCTTTGTTGATCTTGTTTTCCCTCCTTTCTTGTTATTTCAAATGCCCATTAAAATTTGTAAAGAAATTTATAGTTGATTTCATGCCCCTATTCTTCTTTCACGTGGCTTTTGATGATGATTTTTTGTTCTTTTACATGTTAGCTCCTATCATCTCAATGAAAAGATCCCATAGGCAGATCTTAGTTCTAGCATAGAAGAAAGAAATGAAAAGTAAAGATAAATCATTTAGGTTTAGAGTTAGGTGTTCATGAATTTTCTGAGTTCAAATCCTTCAATGGCCAGCTCAAATGTTCCCAAAATTGCTCATCTAAATTAATATACTATTGATCAATATGTAGTGGAATATTTTCTCTATATATTTTTTTTTGTCACATGTTCATGTCTCCTGATTGTTAATCCTTAATTTTGAAATGATTTGGATCTTTATTGAGATTCAGTATTCTTTAAATTTAGAAGGTGGATTGATGCAAAATCTAGTCAATTTTTCATTTTATTTTTCCTCTTTTCTTACCTTTACTTGAACCAAAAGCATTCTGGCTGGTCCTAGCCGTATCTCCGATATCTAACTCAGCCAGCTTCCTAAAGTTCATCTATCCCCCCATAGTCCAAACAACCTAACTCTGGGCCCCAAAATCCTAATCTTGACAGCCTTCATCTTTTTAGCCAAAACTTTCTGGTCTTAATTATGATTTGGATGATCTTGTTGACCTTAGTAAGCTAACTTCTTGCTTTACAATTTCCCTGTTGTTTACACTCCTTCAATATGTTAACAGCCACTATGTTCCCCCACAAGCTGCTCTTCACTAATCTCTATACCACTTTGATGCCTTTCAAATTTTGGCCATATCATTTTCATCTTAATTTTGATTTTGATGATTTTGGTGTCTGAGAATGCTAACTTTAAATTCCATAACTTTTCTCATGATCACTCTCCTTCATTGATAGTAGATTTTGCTCCAAAATTTGAAAGTATAACACATCCTTATAGCTCTACAATACCAGAAATCTACTTTGTACTTCCCTTTACGATATGATTTTTATTGGTTCCAACCACTTTTAAACCATTGATTTTACAAGCTTTGATCTTGTTTTGGAGGATTCTCATATGCTCTAAAGGATCACTTTTTTATGACTTTTTTTTTCCCATGTTATACTACATTTTAGGGATCTGCTAACTCGTTTTTGTAAATCATTTTGTGGATTTGACTGTATTGTTGTTGGATTTGTCTCCTTATTCAAATTTGTAAATGATTTTGTGGCTTAAAAGATATTGTTGATAGATTATACACCATTCCTTTTAGTTTGGCTCTTCTAAATGCACTACCTAGCCCTCATTTGGAGGGTTTTCCCAATCTAACTAGTGATCTATCTTCGCATCTCGATTCTAAAGTGGCAAACTGATTTGGAGTCTTACTCTCTTCGCATGACATGCTCTAATACATTGCATATAATATTATATGCTTACATTGTGAATAGACATGATATGACATTCAAATATCCTTTTATGCTTTTCTCTAAGAGTAGGATATTGATGCTCTAACTTGGACATTGAGGATAATGAGATTCATTATGCTAGTCTCTTCTCGATGATGTGGAGCTACATTCTACCGAGAAACAATTTAACTTTTATCAAAGATGGATTTTGTGTAATCTTAGCACACTAAACATACAATAGAGCTTTTGCAATTTAAAAAAAAAGAAATGAAAAGAAAATCATTTCCAATTAAGTTGCTAAAATCGATGGTTGTAATGCATGAAAAATTTGATTTTTATGACTAGACAAAATGTTATGATCCGGCCCAAGAGCTTGAAGTACCAAGGCAAAATTTAACAATTAGACAGAGAAAACTAACTCTAACAATTTCATATCGTAAATAAAATGATCACAAAAACAAAAGTCACTCTATTTCATAAAATTTTAATTTATAATAATTTATTCATACTTAAAATTTACAACTGACAAAATATAAAATCTAAATTTTAATTAATATCAGTCTATACTCATCAATGTTTGTACACATGATCTCTAGGATCCATCCATCAGATAACATGTTTTCTTATAAAATATTAGCAACTAAAGGTTTGAGCTAAATTACTCAGTGAACAAAATATTTTAAGTTAATAATTTTCATTTTAAAATACTTTTAAAGATTACAATCAACAATAAATGACTGTGAGCTGTGAAAAGTAAACAATAAAGAATCTTTTTTATATTTACTTTTATGTTTCTATTAAAATATTTGTCAAAGGGAGTCACCTTCTAAATATATACGAAAAATATGCATTTAATCTTTTTCTATCCATAAAAAGATAGACAACCATTTCCATTTTCATTTAACATGCATGAGTTTATTGCATTCAATGCCAGTATCACCTGGGTGTGACTCCTCATATACATGCATATATCATATTTTATTTATTTTTTTTAGTTGACATTTAGAAAAAACCACAAACTTTTGCATTTTAAAAGAAATACTAAAAGCAGTAAAAGCAATTGCAATTACTTTCATAAATAAATGTAAGTAATGTAAAATTAAAAACATATTTACCCGCCTGTATAATGCAATTAAGTTGTCTTTTTTGTCTGTCCAATCTAATCTTTTGGTGCACCTATAATAGCAAATTAGACTTGATTAGTTCTATCAATTTTTTCGTTCTTTTATATGAATTCTAACATAAATAATTTGACATTTTTATTTGCCTTTTATCTAATTAAATAATTTTTTATTGTTACTTCATATTAGTACTTCTATAATTTATTCTTATTATTGACCTATTTTATTAATTCACTAACATTTTACAATTCAATATAATATATTTTTGGAACATTTTCTTAATTTTTTTTTGGTATTTTGAGTTAGGAATATTGTAGTTATACTTTTAAACTTAGGGTTCTTATTTTATAATTTAATACAAATTAATGAAGAAAATAACAATTAAATATGAAATTCAAACTTTATACCTGAAAATTTCCCTTTTTTTTATTTCAGCCTTCTCACCAATTGCCCAAATAAATTAGGATTCTAAAATTTAATTTCAATTATTTAAAATTAATTACTTAAAATTTTCTTATCTTAAGCCGCAAAACCCTTTTCTATCTTGCTAGATTTCCACGTTCGGAGAAAACAAGAGTTTGTTCGAGCCCTTAAACTTGCGGAAATGATCTTTGCTCTAGCTATTTCATGTGCTAGGAGCCTAAAAGACTTGGCCGAGGTCTCTAGCACACATGAATTTTCTGCGAGCCTGTCCTTCTCCTAGAGCTCTCGGTCAAACGTCTCTTAAGCACTAAGATTTGTGTAAATGGGAAAAGCTGCTTGGCTCCGTTTTCTTGCTCACGATTTGACGGAAACAAACGAGGAAACTCGATTGACCGTACTCCCTCCTCCACCGTTTTCTTCCATTCCATCTTTTTCTTCCATTCCACCTTTTTCTTCCATTTCGTTAGGGCTTGACGTAGTTTGCAGAGGACGCAAGAGGAAGACTTGTTTGAGCCGTTTTAGCCTTCAAGTGCTAGGTTGAATGTTCCTGCAAGTTGTATGACAATCTCCTCCATTCTCTTCTCTTTCTTCTTTTTTATTCTTCTTTTTCTTCAATTAGGGCACAACTCGTTCTCGCTCTCTTTCTACTCCTCACATGGATTGAAGGGACAAGACGAGGCAATTCCTCGTTAAAGCTTTCGAGGGTGGCGGGGGTGCCGCTCAAATGAAACATGTGAAGTAGGTGTCGTTAACAGGTAATATCTTTTTTTTAAAGTTAACTAATATTCAAAAATGTATTATTACACAAAAGTATATTGAGAAGTCTTTATTATTGGAATCACCAGAAATCTACGCGATGGAGCGCCAAAATTGATAGCCCGTGCAATTAGCCTTAGATGAAAAATGAAATCTTCCTTAGTCGAGCTGCTAGAATTTTGTGGGCTTTAAAATCCCCACCCGACTTTGTACCTGTTAAAATTTGGTTTTTGAGTTTATTTTTAGGAGGTAGCTAGATTAGATAGTAGTTGGAACTATTTTTATATTTCACCCTCTTATGATGACTTCATGTTTTGGTTCTAGGTTTCTCATAGGTATAAACACCAATGGTAATTATTTCTATCGTTCAAATTGCTCTTTATTTGATGATATCTTGCACCATATGCTTTTTGTGATAGAGGCATTAGAGCTCATACTAGCGATCCTCAAGTATTTGATATTTTATAAAGGAGCATTTTAGCACAGTTAGATTTCTCTTTTGATAATCTATCATGATTGCAACCATATTATCAAGGATTTTAATCTTTAGGTATTTGGCTGATTTGAAGTGGGAAGCAATGTTTACACTGACACTATGAATTATGATTTTCATTAAACGTGCATTTGTAGGGGAGTTGGCTCGAAGTATGTTTGTTTTTGTAATTGGGAGCTCAGTATATTGCTAACCTGTTTGGTTATACTCTGCACTTTTTTTGTGGTTTGGGGTGTTCTATTTTTTACCCATTTTAAAATTTTTTGTAATTTCTTGTATTTCTCTCACTGTTTGCTTCTTTTTTCCAAAGCTATTTTTTCTTATTCCTTTGGTATTGACGGCTTAAACTCTATTTAGTAGACATTGTTGAAGTTTGAGCTTAAAAGTGAGTTTAAACAAGTTTCAGTGCAGCTTGACATGAGTTCAATTTTCATTGAATATTTGAATTTAAATCATTTTGTACAATTTTGAACCTGCTGCATAGCTGTCTAAGTAGGGAGTGAAGAAGGAAATTGTTGTTATGGGAAATGCTTATAATGGGCTAAATCTTGATGCTTGAAAATTGGATTACATTTAAGTTGGGTAAGGACATTTTTCGTTTCAGTTGCTGCAAGTATAGGGGCGGGGAAGTGTTGTGAATTTTGACCTCAACATGTAAAATATTTATTCATTTCCTAGACAACCTGAAATATCTTACTCTTTAAGTATTTCTAAACTTGCAAAACCTTCAGCATACTTAGCAATGACTTTTCTAGTTGGAGGGAAGTGCTGCAATTAATTTCCTTGATTTTTGGGAATCAAAACATGCATTTTTTTTTATCTTAGCTAATTACAGCTGTAATTCTTGATTAATATGAAGGGGGATTCACACCTATCAGACATAAGATTGTGAAAAAATATGAGGCATTTACATACATATCACACAATTCTTGCGTATTTACATTTCACACCTAAACTTTCATATTTACACACATTAGCCTCAAATCTTTAATATCACATCAAAGATAGCACGATCACCACCTTTTAAAAGTGACATACACCTTTTCATGCACAGGTCTAAAGCACCAAAACTCTATGTATGAAATATGACAGTTTAGGCGTGACATATGTAATAACATAAGAATTGCGTGCTACGCATGTAAATTTCCAAAAATATATTTGTGTTTAGAATGCATGTAGGCAAAAGGCACACTTTTTTTCCTTCAAAAGTTGAGCTTGCAATTATGGTAGATAAAATCAATATCAAAGATTCAGGATGGAAAATTGCCGATTGAAGGTAATGTGGCTAGACATTGGGCATGAAACATGAATAATTTAGAGATCATAGCTCTGTCACAATCAATTAAAATTTATGGAGGAGTTTTTAGGAAACCAATGTCTCCAAATTGTTTGCGTCTGACTAATGATGACGATGGAGCATATTTGTTTCTTCATTCATCATTCTTTTGTGAAAGCAATATTCTGATAAAAGTTTATTCTTCTGTTATTGATTTATCTTTTCCCCAACCTCTGCAGGAAACGAGGAACTACCACGAGATCTGATTATGGTAACTTACCATGTTTTTTTTTCCTATGATTTTTGCTGATACTTTTGTAACTTGTTTGATCCACTAATGCCCTTTAACTCTTACCCAGTGTCCTCCAACTTCACATCAGGTGGCATGCCAGTTTGTTGCAACAAATCTTACAGCAGAATTATGTCTTCGTATTGTACTTTGGCTGGAAGGGCTAGCGGCAAAAGCTCTTGAGTTGGAAAAGAAGGTTTTTCATGTTTTCTCCAATATAAATTTAGTTACCTTGCTGTCAAATCATTAAGCGCTACTTATGGATATTACGTAATCAAAGTTTTCCTCGTTTGCTTGAGCTTCCTAAACTGAAATTTAATTATTCGTTGTAGCAATATTCAATAATTCACATTTATCTTGGTAAAGGATGTTTGACATTTTTGTGAATTTAACTAGGCACATAGCAGTTATGTTATTAAATATTAGAAGTAGAATAGACATGCAAATAGAGAGCATTCACCTAAGACTCATACAACTCAAAACTTTCAGAGCTAAAAGAATGTTTCTGATACTTTCTTTTGGCTTGAATGACTAGTTATTTGTGCCAGGCAGAGTTTCCATATTTTGCTTTCAATTCATACGCTTAAATTTTCAGATTATTGTTGTTGATTCCAGAATTTTCTCTTTTTTGTTATTAGAATGGACATTTGCAAAGTTATCAACTGTTTGATATATGTGGCCAGACTTTCCTTTTTTTTGAGTTTATTTTATTTTTTGCGGTTTGAGGTGGTGCCATGAAATGACTAATACATATTAGTAGTTGTGATGTTTCATTGTAAGAATTTTGTCTGTTCGTTTTCAGCTTATGAGTCATGTCTTTGCTGGTTTATCTCTGCATATCATTGTCGTATCGTTTTTCCTCCAGTAACATGTCTTTTAATAATCGTTGAAAAGGTAAAGATAGCGATCCATTTTCTATTATTTAGTGATCAACATGCTATCAAAACTATTACAAATAATTGTTTTTATTTTCATACAAAAATAAAAATACTGTCATGCGATATGATTGCCAAAGGCACCAGGCACCACACCAGGCAATCGTTTGAGCGAAGTGAAATAATAAAAAGAAGCGTACTTTATAAGTTTATTTCACTTATTAAAATTAAGTCTGAAAAATATAAAATGAGATTATTGTTGTTGATTCCAGAATTTTCTATTTTTTGTTATTAGAATGGACATTTGCAAAGTTATCAACTGTTTGATATATGTGGCCAGAATTTCCTTTTTTTTGAGTTTATTTTATTTTATGCGGTTTGAGGTGGTGCCATGAAATGACTGATACATATTAGTAGCTGTGATGTTTCATTGTAAGAATTTTGTCTGTTCGCTTTCAGCTTATGAGTCATGTCTTTGCTGGTTTATCTCTGCATATCATTGTCGTATCGTTTTTCCTCCAGTAACATGTCTTTTAATAATCGTTGAAAAGGTAAAGATAGCGATCCATTTTCTATTATTTAGTGATCAACATGCTATCAAAACTATTACAAATAATTGTTTTTATTTTCATACAAAAATAAAAATACTGTCATGCGATATGATTGCCAAAGGCACCAGGCACCACACTAGGCAATCGTTTGAGCGAAGTGAAATAATAAAAAGAAGCGTACTTTATAAGTTTATTTCACTTATTAAAATTAAGTCTGAAAAATATAAAATGAGATTATTGTTGTTGATTCCAGAATTTTCTATTTTTTGTTATTAGAATGGACATTTGCAAAGTTATCAACTGTTTGATATATGTGGCCAGAATTTCCTTTTTTTTGAGTTTATTTTATTTTATGCGGTTTGAGGTGGTGCCATGAAATGACTAATACATATTAGTAGTTGTGATGTTTCATTGTAAGAATTTTGTCTGTTCGTTTTCAGCTTATGAGTCATGTCTTTGCTGGTTTATCTCTGCATATCATTGTCGTATCGTTTTTCCTCCAGTAACATGTCTTTTAATAATCGTTGAAAAGGTAAAGATAGCGATCCATTTTCTATTATTTAGTGATCAACATGCTATCAAAACTATTACAAATAATTGTTTTTATTTTCATACAAAAATAAAAATACTGTCATGCGATATGATTGCCAAAGGCACCAGGCACCACACCAGGCAATCGTTTGAGCGAAGTGAAATAATAAAAAGAAGCGTACTTTATAAGTTTATTTCACTTATTAAAATTAAGTCTGAGAAATATAAAATGATAAGTATCATAATGAATTATGGCAGATGAAATAATAAAATTTTGTAGCATTACAAGTTTCATAATCTTGCTAAATAGAATATCCTAAAAAATTTAAAATAATTTTAAATAATCTGTATGATTAGCTAGTGAGTAGTGAGAATGAGGTAATTTTAAGTAATAGACATTATTTAATAAGAATTGCTCATACTTGTGATTTATTGTGAATTAAATAATTAATTTTATTTGTATATATGTTTATGTTTTTTATGTTTTGGTTGTAAATTATTTTAAATATTCTTGTTTCTGCAAACAAAAGCTAAGTTATTTTTTCAAACATAAATTTTTCATAAGCGAAACGAAGCCTATAAAAGATAAAAAATAAAGCAACTCAAAACAAAAACACAATGGAAATAACATAGCTCTAAATATGGACCGAGTTGAGCATGACGCAACTTTTGTCAAAGGAAGGGAAAGGAGAGGCACTCTAACAGTTGCCATGGTGGAGTGTGACTTGATTTAGGCTGCAAATGTTGAAAGGGCTAGTTTTTTCATTTAGTTATGCATGTGGCCATAAATGTTCTCCTTTCTACACAATTACACCAATTAAGATCTTTTTTTCTTAGGAATAGATTTTCTTCTTGAAGAAATACATAAATTGAAATCAAAGCTGGGGTTCTGTGTATGGGATGTGGAGGAGAGTGGATAATGAATTTTATTTTTCACGGGGAGTATATGGGATGTGGAAGGGAGTGGATAATGAATTTTATTTTTCACGGGAAATGAATCTGGCACTTGTTTTAGGCATTCAACTAAGTCTATGGATGTTGTTGTGGAAGATACTTGGAAGAAATTAGATAAATGTAGGCTAATAATCTTACTTGACTCATGAAAGTATCTAATTAATTTTGTTTTTTTTTGTTTATTTGATTCAAGTGCTCAAGTTAATTCCTATATTGATTTAAAACTTACTACTGTCTGAATGCATTAATTGGAGCATCAATTTAACTCATTTAGCCTCCAAGCAAAGTTAAAAGTTGCATCAAGCTTACATAATAGTTATGTTTTGATCAAACTAATTGTCTTGGTTTGGAAGGACAAGGTTTTCATCAAGTTAGTCAAGTTAGAAATAATTAATTATCGGTTTTTTTATCAATTTCAGCTGGTTTTAAAGTTAAGTTCCCTGACTCTCCCTTTCTTTTGATTTTGATTTTGCACCTCTTTTGAATTCCCTCTTCACCTATTGCTAGCTTGACACCATAAAGATGCGCTCATCAAAGTTTGTGACAAAACCTTAATGCACATTGAGACAAGGTGCGAACATGACTAGAGGAGAACATGCAGTCTATGTGAGGAAGTAACAAGAGTTTATCATAACGGCTTATAAGTTGGAATAAAGGAGTTGAGACGAGAAGCAAATCGTTCATAAATATCCTAAATCTAACTCCAGGTTGGATTTAAAAAATCTGTAATTAAACGCAGAACAAGTGAAAAATATGATTTAGGGTCTGTTTGGGGCAGCTGCAGCTTATCCAGCTTATACTGATAGACAACTTATCCTGATAAGTTGTGTATCTGCAGCTAAGCCTGATAAGCTATTTGCCTGTTTGGTTTGAGCTTTTGGAAAACAGCTGATTTACAACTGTTCGTGGATAAATGACCATTCTGCCCCTGGACTGAATAAGTTGTTAAGCTGTTTGGTTTCTGCGGTTTGAAAATACTTAATTTGCAGCTGTTGGTGGAAAAATGACTATTTCAGCCACGGGCAGTAGAGCTGTTTGCAACAGTAATATAATGAGAACACATTCAATATACTAAAAAAAAAAAAAAAACTACATAACAGTTCAAATGACAAAAAAAAAAAACCCTCACTCAAAGGAGACTATCTGCAAATCTATTAAAAAACAAAAACATAACAAAATTACAATTAAAATTATGATAACATTCATTTTAAAATGCAGAAGGGGCATGTTTGGAGAAAAGTTCTTTGAGCTCATTTTTTTCTATAAAAAAAGCAAGTTACTTTGACAATCAAAACGCCAAACACTTATAATCATTCATCGTATGGACTTATTTCCATATCTCTTCAAGATTCAAGAAAATTAAGACAAGTTCCTTTCTCCCAATTTTCTTCACCATAAATGATAGCCGCTAAGAGCTTGCCCGATCCATCCAACATAGCCAAAGCAACATAATGGAATGTGAACAGGTAAAATGACAACACCAATCAACACCGCATGTACCTTTCCGAAAATCTAAGATTAACCGCTCCCAACAGGTTAGAAAACGGAGAACACATAGGTTTTCAGATTCCTTTGAACAATCAACCCGATTGGATCATCAAGATGAGCCATCAGTCGATTCAATCCATAAATCCGCACAAATTTTAACAATAAGACAGTCTAGATAATGAAATCGTGCTCACCCCGGGTCTTTCCAGAAAATCCAAAGGGTGAGGCACCAAATCCATGCATGAACGACGAAACCTTCAGAATCTCCAACTGTGGGGGAGGTAAGAGTCTAGAAGAACGAAGCGGGAAAGCCTAGATTGGCACGGGGTGAGAATGGGATGGGAAAAGGAGAGTGAGGGAGAGACGAACGTGCTGGCGAGAGCCATTGTTGAGATTTGCAGTCATCTAAGATGGAAACGGAGAGCAGAGACGAAGAGCGAGCAGAAGGGCACGGGAGGAATGAAACTTCAAACGCGAACCAAAAATGCGGACCGCGGGCTTCATGCCACAACTTGCGCCTTTAAGAAATAAAAAACGGGTTTTGGAATACGCAGATCGAACGTGCGATCCAAACAGGAGGGCGGCGTTTTCAAAATGCCGCCCGCTGCCGCCCGCACTTATAAGCTTATAAGCTGTCCCAAACGGGCCCTTACTTGATCAATAAGATTTATGTACATCTTAAAGAATTGTTTGGCGTGACTTAGCCTGAATCCTGGCTAAATCTTGGTTAAATCTTAGCATTGTAAACTATTTTCATCTGTAGATATCGCTTGAGAAATTAGTTTAGATATAAATAA